AGGAAGATGGCTAGGCTGCGTGTGTATATGGAAGAGAAGGGAAAGACAGAGATGGTGGACAGAGTGGGAGGAATTTAAATTTAAAACAGCATCCCAAACCGCAAAACATACTAAAAATGGGGCCTATCACTCAAACAAAACCAAGAGAATCAAACAACACTCTCAAATAGATCAAGGTGGAACAAACCTTGGGAGAATATAGAGCTCCACTCCATGGTTGTCTCTACATTGCGGGCCCTCTCTCTCCTTTCCACAGGAGCACTCTGCCCTTTCAAGCAGGGCTGCAGTGCAGGGTTTTTGGTGCATGGGGAAAATCTAGCCGCTGCAGCCCAGCCTCCAGACCTCTGGAGGAGGAGGACAGGCTGGCTTTCTTCCCTTCCCCCTCCCTTCTGCAGCCTCTTGACCAGGGGAGAAATCACTGCTTCCCAGCTCCATGAATGCTGAAAACCCTCTGAAATAGGTTAGTACAGAGTTGCCTGATCAAGAGCTCTTGAAAGTCAAAAAAAACCCTTTAGATGATCAAGAGCTAATTGATCAGGCAACTCTAGCCCTTCCTCTTAAGGCTCAGCCAGCTGACTCACCCACTTGCCCAGTCCTCCATCTGAAGCAGATCTCTTGTCTTCTGCCAGCTACTGGTGAGACATTGGGTCTCCAAAGCAGGTGCCAGAAAGCATTTTCAAACTGCGATTGTGACCCGATTCGTGGGGTCTGTCCCCTGACTTGCCCTACTTTGGATCACAGAGGTACAAAAAGCACATTCACTAACAAAGATGTCAGTTGGTGGGCATGGTTGTATGGGAGAAGCCAGATTTTCAGAGCCAATCTACCGTGTCTGCTAATTAGGGAGAGAGACGTTGTTCAAAGCTTGGGGACATACTTATATCTTTCTATGTATACAGAACCGTGACCACTCTTACAGGTCTTGTGATGCTCTGAAAGAGGCCATTAGTATCTTCATCTGCTGAAAATAATCATTGTAGGAGTTTGCTACATCCTAACCTGGGGTACTGAGCTCTTAACTCTGGGACCATTGCCAATGCAGAGCACAGAATTCTGTTGAAAGGCAGCATCTAAATCAAGCCTCTTCAGTATGAATATAATTAATAGAATGGACACTCCTGGAAAAAAGAGCAATTGCTTAAACTCAGGTCACGGCTACATAACATCCTCTGTTTGTACAAAAATATTATATTAATTGTTCTAGAAGAGACCAGGAAGTGATCGATGCCAAATCCCTTTATATCGATGCCAAATCCCTTTATATATATAAAGGATCTATGAACATAGGCAGCAAGTGCCTACAAGCAGGATTTGGATATGTATTTTAGACAATGCAGAACTTTTTAAACATTAACTATTATGACATGCGCCATTAAAATTGCCTTTAAGCATTTGAGCCAATAAAATGACCTTAGTGAGTAGGTTTAAATTCAGTAATTGCTTACTGAAAGTGTTTTGCCAAAGTTCCCAAGGAGTGACAAGATCATAACAATGGGGGGGGGGGATTGTCTGACACAGGACATGCAGTCGGCAGACCTCAAAGTTTGTAGGTATCCTAAAAATTCAACACACACATCCCTTGGTATTTTTTGGCTCAGGTCTATTGGACCCATTTATTATTTATTTATTTATTTTGTATTTCTGAAAAAAACCGGATTTGGTATTGGGATCCAGGATTTGATTTGGTATGGTATTGGGATCCAGAATTTGATTATTATTTTTTTTGGGAAATCCTGAATTTCTAGGGGGTCCAATAGACCTGAGAAGAAACGCATTGATTTTTTTTAAAGCCAGCCTGTTTTTGTTTTTTTTTTAAATTCAGGTCTCTCCCAGCTGAATGCAGACCTGGCTGGAATGGCTTCTTCTATGGTGCAATTTAAACCATGCCACAGGAGAAGCTGGCCCCAGGATCTGCATGCAGTGGGGAGGCAAGAGAGGATCAGCTGGGATGGTGGGAGCTGAGAGCTCCATGCCACCTTGGCTGGGGCTGGCTCCTTTAACAGCTCAGTTTAAACGTCTGCAGAGAGTATCCTTTAAGGAACACCAGGGTCCATTATAAAAACCCATTTGGCTTGGAAAAGCCTAACATTTATTTGGAAAATTTGTATCCCGATTCTCCGGAAACATGCTTAAGGTGGCTTTCTGTGAGTAACTCAATAGTAGCCATTTTGTGGTCAGCTGCACACCAAATGGCAGCCATATTTGATAGAAGGGGGGTGGCAGCAATTGGAGGGAAAGGCCCCCCAAAGCTCTTGAACGAGAGTTGGGGGACTCTAAAAAATCCCAGCTGGGACGAGGGGGTTTTCCTCAGCAAAAACAATGTCTTCTGTCACATATAAGCAGGACTGGGTCTCACTTGCCTGCTTGTGGGATGGTTAGACAAATAGGGAATAAGGGTGGCTAGGCAGATGCAAGGGTGGAAATGTTACATAGCTCACTAAGTGACCTTGTGTTGGTCACTTTCAGCCTCACCTACTTCACAGGGATGTTTTGAGGATAGAATGGAGGAGGGGAAATTTCCTTATGCTTTCTTGAGTTTCTGGAAAGAAGAGAGAAATAAAAATGGAACGGACAAAATACATATTATCTGTTTCCTCATGTGTGATTTTAAAACTTTGCCTCTCAGAGATGGTTCGCTATGGTGACATAGTGATAAGGATGTACTTCACACATGCACAGAGGCACTTTCCTCTGGTCCAAGTAATCAGGGCCTGCTAATGTGTTGGATATTCAGTCACCTCCTTGCAAAATATACTTCAAAACAGCCAATAAACTATAAAAACATTTTTTCCCCTGAAGCAGAAGGGGCTTGTGATTTTGTACTTTTTGGAACTGTCCCAAAGTTATTTCATTTTCATTTTAAAAAGTACAAAGAAAAGGTTGTCCCAGATTCAGTGTTGACAGTCAGTGGCCTTTTATTCACAATAATTATTTCTGCTTACCTTGTTGGTAAAATAAATTGCACTCTTTTCAGAAATGAGAAGGAAAAGTCTTGTTAAAAACAATTATGTACATGTTTGGAATTTTTAATGGAATAAATTCATTTGTCCTCAGGGATATCCATGCCTAACTGATTAATATTTATTTTTTCACCAGGACTGAGGCTACTCACGGTATCAATGTGGTCAATACTTATGTATGGCTTTTTAGTGTAAGGCTCCCCCTACTTCACTTTCACCAATAAAATCTATGTTCCCATACACTATACTGATGGTCCTTATTTGTTCCCAACTGGGCAGTTAAGGTTCTTATCACAAAGCCACCACAGGTAATTCAGCACAATTGCCTGTCTCTGCTGAACATAAAAGACAATGCCTGAGCAACAAAGCCTGTGGCTATGCTATACTGAGTAATTTACTTTTCCCATTGAAGATGTGGTCCTCTCCGGGAAACACTAAGGTCACCAGGAGGGATTTTTTTTAAAAAAAAAATTGCAGATACATTCCCTGGCTTCCAAATGGCATCCAGAATGTCGTCTCCCCCAGTTCTATCTCCTTAAACTTCAAAGACAAGTATGTGCAGCTGTAATGGACACAGCAGTAATCCCCTTGGGTACACTCTATTTCTACCATACAGAAAATGTGACTGTAATTATCTGCCTCACAGCACACATTTCACTCCATGAATAATTCTGGCTTTGGGCAGAATGGATTTCTAAAGGATATACTCCAAAACTTACCTATACAGCAAACTTGAAAATAGGTTTTAACATTTTACACCCCTATATAATGTATGCTCCCATAGTTACACAGACACTCTAAACACATCATACACTGCATACTGGACCAGAAAAAATTATATTGCACATCTAGTATCTATGTACTGGATGATACAGTCTTGAATCACTAATTGAAATTAAAGGAAGATGTCCAATCATGCACAAGTCAAATTCTGAAACAATCTTTATGGCATGGTTCTAAATAGGGATTGGCACGAACTGGAAAAATGCGGTTTGTGTCAGTTCGTGGTCGAACCACAAACCAAATCGAACCAGGAAGTTCATTCATGAACTGAACCAGTTTGTGGTTCGTGGCCCTGCAAAACCCATTGAAAGAGACCACAGTCCTTTTTAAACGGGGTTTGCAGAAAGCCCAAAAAACAGCTGGTTTTGCAGCTTTTGCAGAGAACAGAAAGCAGGGGTTTAAAGGCACATGTAGTCTCTTTAAACCCCCACTTTCTGCTCTATCCATGAACCGCCATGAACTGCTTTAAAAGTTGGTCAAAGTTCATGATAGTAGACCCATCACAAACTTCAGTTCACAAACTACAAATAGGGCAAAATTCGTGATGAATTTTGCTTTGTGGTTCAGTTCGTGCCTATCCTTACTTCTAAGAAATGTACTCAGTTAAACAAATAGTTTGACACATTTTCAGGGACCTGCAATGTTGTCACCTGATCAGCTTTAAACTAACAATTTACAGGCAGTTTTTTTCTTTCTGTCCCCAGACTGACACACCAGTCCAGGGCATTCAGCTTCAAACATCAGTCTGTTGGGGTCACAAGGGAGTAAGGGGAAAAGATTTGGGTCTGCACCTATCCAGCTTTCCTTTGGTTTGACTGATGTAATCGCTGACTATTGCAACTGGCCAAACATATTGAAATAATTGAGTATGAAGGTTAGTGGAAAGAATAAAGTGTGTTGCAGACCTATAGATCTAAAGCTGTGTTAGAACAAAGGCCTTAACTAAGCCTAACATGCAGTTTATTTCAACAATTAATAGGAAATCCATATAAATCCTAATATTAAATGATCCTGTACTGAATAAGGCTAGTAATTTAGCTGGCTCCTAACAATCCATATATATATTAGACTCTGTGCAGCAGGTAAAGCACAAGGATAATTACCACAAGGATGGGATTGCTATGGCTCACCTTGCCAGTGATGCTTGTAATCGCACATTCGTGATAGAGCTATCATCATGGCACAGTACAGGGGTAGGATTGCTGCACAGAGTCGCCAGCTTTTCCCCCGGCCTTTATCGGTGAAGCAGTGCAACTTCCCAGCTAGGTAGAAGGTGGTAAAGCCAAGACCTGAAAATGCAACTGCCAAAGAAGAGAGAGAAAAACAACACAAAAAAGAAAGAAAATATAGAAACAGCTAGTGAACTATTCAAAGTCACACACTTATACTCAGTTTCAGTACAACAAAGTGCAGAGGAATTATGGAATTTGGATAATACACAGAGCAGTACACAGAACCTCAGGGGTAGATTATTCTTTACACCAATAACCCAACAGTACTCAAGCATTCATGTGCATCATTGATAGATCTCACAGACACATTCCTAGGAGGTTCTTGATCCATTTACCCAAATTACTTCCATTTTGTATTGTTTCAGTCTATGATCAGAGTAACAAAATTCATTTATATGATTGAAATATGACAAGATATACCCATAGCTGATCTATGTAAAATGGTGCCACTGTCACTGCAGCTTGTAGTGTCCAGATTAAGGATTTGGAGGTTTTACAATACAAGGGGGGTTTCAAGATGTGTGAGGAAGCCTATCTTCACAAAAGTGGTCTACTGCCAAATGCACCTTTTTTTGTGGCCCAAAAGCATTATACTGTGTGTTGATTTATTTACTTCATTTATACCCTGCCTTTCTCCCCAGTGGGACCCAAACCAACTTACATCCTCCTCTCCTCCATTTTATTACCCAACAATCCTGTGAGGTGGGTTTGGCTGAGAGTATGTGACTGGCCCAAGATTACCCAGTAAACCTCCATGGCAGAGTGCAGATTCAAACCCGGGACTCCCAGATGCTAGTCCAACACTCTGAGCCCTATACCACAATGGATATCTCCTTGATGACCTAAAGAGAGAATGATGGGTCACTGGATGCTACATTTGCAAACGCAGTATGTAAGACAGTAAGATACATTTAGACAAAACTACTACTGACCCTGCATGCATATAACTTAAAGGAAAAGCTCCACTGCATTAAAGTTCAATAATTAAAACATTAATTTTATAAAATCTTGCCACAGGCATTTACCTGTCACACTGTACAGACCTTTTCTAAATTAAATGAAAAATACAATTACTTCAGAGTATTGCCAATGAAGAGAAAATTTTAGTTGAAATCATAATTGGATTTTTTTTTGCAGTTTTAAGCCTGCAGGTGATTGTGCGCAATTAGCAAAAAAGATACCTTTTGCCTTTAATCAAACCAGTAAGACTGTGTCTTTGGAATTAAAAAAAAGAAACAACATTAATGAGAAATGCATCCATTGAAGCCTCAAATACTGAATTCTCCTCTTGTCCATCCTTTGGTCCTAATGCTGATAGAAATATGTTCTTGCAAGATACATTAGCCACACTGAAGTAACTGTCAAGGGCAAGGGGTTAGCAAAAAACAGGATTAGGGATGGGCATGAACCATAAAAATGTCATTCAGTTCATGATTCGTGGACTTTGTGGTTTACAAACCTCAGACCATCATGAACTTTTTTGGTGCTAGATGAACCACTTTGGTTCATGAAGAAGAAGAAGAAGAGAAGAGATTGGATTTATACCCCGCCCTTCACTTGGAGTCTCAGAGCGGCTTACAAACTCCTTTCCCTTCCCCTCCCCACAACAGACACCCTGTGAGGTGGGTGGGGCTGAGAGAACTCTGACACAAACTGCTCTTTTTCAAGGACAGCTGTGCCAGAGCTTGTGACTGACCCAAGGTCACATCAGCAGGTGCAAGTGGAGGAGTGGGGAATCAAACCCGGTTCTCCCAGATTAGAGTCCGCACCCTTAACCACTACACCAAACTGGCAGAACAATCCCCCCAGCATGCTAGAGACATATTTTCTGGGGAAACAAGGAGCAGGTTCAGGGGGTTCAGGAGTGTATACAATGGATCCTGTGCAATCTAGAGACACAAAACTCACAGAGGATCTTTGGCTTACTCTTCTTTACCAGCCCTCCAAGTCTGGTGGGGATTGGATTTACAGAGTCTGAGTTATGGCCTCCCAAATAAGGTGCCCCATCCTCCATTTTTTCCAATGGGCTAAGGTCAAACCAGTAGAAACTGAAAGGGTTGGCTTTTTTTTTTTTTGCAAAACCAGCTGAACCAGTGCAATGTACCCAGCAGAACCAGTGCCACTGTGGCAGTGAAAACCCAACAGGACTAAAGTCAAGCCAGGAAAGTGCTTCTGGGAGAAATGTCAGACAGAGGTTCAGAAGTGTATAGAATGGACCCCCTGCAAGCTACACACACCAAATGCACAGGGAACCTCACTCTGCCACCTGTTCCTCTACAATTTCTCCAAGTTGGGGGCAGATTACATTTCTGGGGTCCCATTTATGGACCCCCCCAAAAAGGTCTCCCCAGTGCTCTCTGTGGAAAAGACAGCTACAGTTACAAATGAACACGTGAAACTGCCTTATATTGAATCAGACTCTTGGTCCATTAAAGAGAATTGAACCTGGGACCTTCTGCATGTCAAGCAGATGCTCAACCACTGAGCCACAGGCACAGGAGTGGAACAGCTCAGGAACAAGCCAGTGACACCAAACTCACTGGGAAACTTCACCTGGGCAGACCCCCCCCCTCCAGCCAGACTGGAAGCAAGGCAAGCATCCCCCCTATGTTTGCAGCTGTCCCCAACTCACTAAAGGCAGGTTATGAAGGACAGAAAAGCAGACATCCACAGAGTTTCAACAGGGGCTCCATGAAGTAACTCCACAACAACTTGGTGGGCACCCCAGCTCCACCAGACCAGTGGAAATCAGAGGTTTCCACTTAAAAGTGATTAGTGAAGCCAGCCATGACAGAAAGACAGACATCAAACATGGACTCCCCCAAAGTAACCCTATGACAGCTTGATGGGCACCCCATTCCCACCAGACCAGTGGAAATCAGAGTTTTCTACTTAAAGTGATCATGAGGTAGGTGTTGTGTTACGCAATAGATGTTGTTTCATGAGGTAGGTATTGGATGAGGGAGCCCACCCCCACCTGGCAGAGGTGGCCATCCTCCCACCCTAGCACCAAGGGCAAAAAACCGCATGCCACATGCCAAATCACCCAGAGAGGAGGAGGAAGGGGGGAAATGTAGGGTGGACCACAGGAGGCATGGATCTTACCTGTGAGGTCCAGAGAGGGGTAGCCCATTGGGGGAGGTTGACCTTGAGGAAGGCCAACTCATCCACCCTGGCCAGGTGGGGGCTGAGAATGTCTCCCAGGTGGGAGAACACCAACTTGCTCTGGACACTGGTGGGAGGGCAGAAGAGGAAACTCGTGGCCATGCAAGAGTCATCAGTCCAGATGGCAGCCTTGTGTGACCAGTACCATCAAATGCACAATCATGGTGCAGGTGGAGTTCCAGCAGATGGGTAAATCCTGAATGAGCTGGTATTTAGGCTCCTCCCCCTCCCTCTGCCTATCACACAGCAGATGGGCAGACTTGATGCTGCACGAGAAGTGGACAGCCAGCCAGGTCTCCTGCAAGGATCACATCTCAAGGGTGGCAGCAACCCAGGTAGCCCTGACCGTGCTCCCCAGCTCCAGAACATCCTTCACCACTAGGTGAAGCATGTGCACCAGGCAGATGATGGCCTTGAGGCACACAGCCTTCACCGCTGCTGCCAGCATGTTGGCACCAGCATCCGTGACCATGTAGCCACAGATGATGTTGCCTCTGCCCACCAACTCCCACAGGATACTCTGTATCATGGCCCCAATGTTTTGCACTGTGTGGTCTGCATCCATCCCCTGTGCATGGAGAAGAACCACTTTGTAGTCTGGTGGCAAGACTGTCCCTTCCTGGGGCCTGGGCTGTGCCCTGACAGTCTGGACACAGAGGTACTTTGGTTTCCACCAGTGGACAGTGTGGGAGAGGTACCTGTGCTTCTGGCTGCTCCAGAGGTCTGCCATGCAGTGCCCACTTCACCCTTATGGCACAGAGAGGTTGGTTCACAATCAGGAGGGATGGGAGGGTATAAAATGTGGGTCCTCAGCCAAGGAACCCAGTAGCTGAGCCCCTCTGTTCAGCATGAACAGAGAGACAGGATGTCACAGAGCCCTGAGTCTACCTAACACCCCCAAACCCCAGCAGGAGAGAGGAGTTCTCAATCAAAATGTGGTTCCTCAACTGAGGAACCAAGTAGCTAAGCCCCTTTGCTTGGCATGAGCAGAGAGATGGGTGGATCAGATCCCTGAGTCCACCTAACAACCCCAAACCCCAGTAGGGGAGATGAATCACAATCAAAATTTGGGTAAGCACTATCACAAGGGAATGTGCTCTGTTATTCCCCTTTTAACAAGTTCCCTGCCTCTTTGTGTAACTGCGAACAGCTGAGAGAAGAAAGGCTATGGAGCTGAGTACACACACACACATTCTTATCCCAAAGAGCAGAATGGGAACTCTGGAAGCCAGCAGCACCTGTTAAGATTTGTAGGACTCCTATTGGTGTTTACAAGGCTGGGAATTTCTGCCCCCCTGTTGGCTTGGAGTTTTGTAAACAGTTTAATTGAGTGGAGACAGTCTGTTTGGAAATGTGTTTGTTCATGAATTTCCATGAACAGCACAAAAGTTTGTGAAAGGTTTGTGCTGGGCACACTTCCACAAACATTGCTTCATGAACCATGAACCAGCCAAAATTTATGAACTGTACTTCGTGTGCTGGTTCGCACCCATCCCTAAACAAGATGCACAGGCCACATCAAGTCAAATTGAAAAATATTCCCAACAGATATCAGAAAGATGGACAAACTTCTCCGGAGTTTTGGCATTCGTTTCGTGAAGAACGTCTTCCAAACATCAAGATGTGATAGTGTTGCTTCTTATTCCATAATGTGGAAATCCAATACAAAGGTACTAATATCCTATATGTTGAAAATGTTCTTACTTAAAAAATCTTTCCATCAACGGGCACACGAAGTGTACTAGCAAGGTGATGGAAGGATTTGTTATGTAAGAACATGTTTAACACATAGAATATTAGTACCTTTGTATTGGATTTCCACATTATGGAATAAGAAGCAACACTATCACATCTTGATGTTTGGAAGAAATTCTTCATGAAACGAATGCCAAAACTCCAGAGAA